AAAAAAAAGGGAAACGGCTCGTGGGTCACAACCCACGTTTCCAATATTTAGAAGAAGAACTGCAAGCAGGCAGTCAACAGCACACTCAGGCAAAAGGCAATACACGCCGTGTGAAGTCAAACATCGAAAAGACAACACACGTTAACACGTGGTTGTTAACAGTGGTTATTTCGTGAAACACAGATGTAAGGTCGACTCCACCAACGTCAATTAACGTCACCATCCTCAGAACTCAGTTGCACATCATCTGCGACGATGCTCACCCGTCACTTCATCCGTCCCCTACTCCCGGTAGATCCGCCGCCTTTTTAGCGAAAGAGGATTAGCTCGACTCACGTCTCCTATTAATGCGTACTTCACGGGTGCCAATCACCAATCGAAAAAACCAAAAAACGAAAACCGGTTATCACTCGATATCTGTTATCCTACGGTGGCATGCCTATTACGCACAACAAGGGTACCTTACCATATTTATTACCGATGCCCTACTTCTTTGGGTCACTGCTTATCCTGTAAAACAAATTCCTGAAGTTCAGTTTTGTCCAGAAAATTCATAAGGGCGTACCTGGTCCCTATTACCATGGAGCCAGGACCCCCAGACCGATACTATGAAGTTCTACTACCCCCGTCCCCACCTCCTTCAGTCTTAATATGTTAATACTCCAGAAACATTTGTTGGAACATCTTCCATATCGGTGTTTTACCCTTGCTGTAATTGCGAATTGTCGTGCCGAGCCAAGACTTTGGATAATTGTTTCGTCGCAACTCAATTCGAAACAACATCAATGTCTCAAGTACATCCATTCCCATGTAGGAATTTTGGTCAATTCTGTGCAGCGTACTCATGATCACGGCCATCTTCGCTTGCTTGCTCGAATATGAGAAAAAATCCTGGATCGTTCGGAACGGAAGCTCCGTCTTCTCTCTCAATTGTTGCTCATTCTTCAGAGATTGCGTCATACCAATGAAGGGATATTCCTCTCGAATTGATAATTTGCAACCCAAAAAGATCCAACTCTCCTCCCCTTCGTTGGTCTGTTTAAGTGTCAGGGCCTTATCATAGCACTGCAAGAAACGTTCCAACAACAGTTCAGTCCTTTGCCTATCGCCCATTTTCCGATAGTTGTAGGCTGCAAAAACACTTACATCATCTACAAATCTCAGTCCTTCAAAACGATGCCTCTGGCCATCGAGTGAAATGAGAAAGTCCCATTCACTCTTGGCACACATCAGACATGCCAGTGGGCGGCTCGAGCACTTCCCCATTGGTATGCCAATCACTTGCTGCAACAAAGTCCCACATGCCTTGGAATAGCAAAATTCCAATTCAAAACTCACGAAAGAAAACAAGATTTCAAAAGAAATAAAAGAAAATCCTTCAATGTCCTTACAATGACTCAATCGTGCACCCCGATCCCTTCTCTTCACAGATACTCCCTGGTAACCTTTTTGCTTGTACCACCACACAACCCATTCTACTGCATGTCTAATGGTATCGTGAGGTAACCGACTGAACATATCTTTTATATCAAAGGACCTCCCAATTACTCGGACGTTCCGTCTGCTTTTTCCCAGCCGATTGTTCATGCTTCGGAGTCTCTCCTTCATCGATGACACAAATTTCAGATTGAAGTGCCCAGATTCATGAAGCGAGAATAACAAACAGTTAATCCCCTTCGCCATCATCTCGTCCTTATGCTTAGGCAGTGCATATGCACTCCCAACCTTCCCGTTCTTATCCCATTTACCCTGTGAAGACAGACCACGTTGTTCATATTCCACTCCTGCTCGACTCAAGAGATTCACCTCCATTTCCTCACACACCCGATATCCCGAGTTTACCAAAAACGTCTCCTCCATTCCCTTATCATACAAAAGTGGGCACATTATGATCGTATCCCCAGGGTTCCGATCCAACGGTGCCAAAACAAGACCATCTAGCCTATCCCAAAGTTCGAGAATCTGTTCCACACTTCCTTCAGTCATACTGTCCTTTTTCTCAACTATACATCCCTTAACATCCTCGGACGAGAAACAAATTTCCTCATTCGTCAGTTTTGATGATGAGCCCCACGTTTTGAAAGCTTCCATGAGTTTGGATGCAAGTAGAGTATCTCTCCGACTACTCTCGTACCTTGGTACATTCTTGCCGTTGAGTGTCAGCGGTGGCACACTGTTGATTTCACCCATCCGGAAATGCACGTGCCCGTTCCTTTTTGGATAGGGCATCCCAGCACAGGGACAGCTGGTTGCACGCTTCGACGCAAATCGTCGGTGGTTGTGAAGGAGATCGCCGACATTTGGTCCTCTCGTCCACACAACCCGTCCTCTTCGCTTTACCATCTCCTTCAGTGTGGACTCAATCCTCATGCCACCTACCTTCCTACGTACTACCCGCATAATCTCGCTCTTCTTGATCCGTTCATCGTACTTTGTCTTGACAATGATTCTAGTCCGAATGTTCAGGCCATGCCCATCTCGTATCGCCCTAGTGATGATCACTCTCGCCTTCGATCTGCTTCGCTTGGTCGCAAATGTCTTTACCGCGCTGTAGTACCTCACCAACTCACATATTGTTTTTCTCTGGAGATCCTTCCGTAGGCGTGGGCATTTGAAAATACGAATCAAATCGTCTCGAAGTGCTAATAGTGCAGGTGAAGCCTCCGTGATACGGTTGAGTGTCACGATACCAGCTACTTCGAACTTTCCCTTACAGCACCTCAGTGGTTTAGTCTCCCGCCCAACTCTCACATGTGACTCCCCGAAGAGTATTCTCACCAGTCTCCATCCATCGGCACAATGTACATCTATAGATCCCTTTCTTCGAGTAAGACTTCGTAATGCATCGACTACTCTAACGGTACCATCGGTCCTATCCCCGATACGAATTTCGACAAGCTTACCAGTGTCTTTCTCGTAACTCTCGATCCTCCTGCAGTTCCCCTGTCTGTTCCACCTCTGTCTCTCTTTACGACCAGATCTACTCTTTCCCTTCTTCGGAGCTTTCCGTGTCTTTACAGTCCGTACGTTGAGTGATGGAGACCAGTGTCGGATCAACGATCTCTCTACAGCTTCGAGTTCTGTTCGATCTGTACTAGTGAACAAAGGCAATGCTACATACTGGTGGGATCCTACTTTCCCCAACCAATTGTACAATTTTTGTCTCCGTCTCCCCTTCGTGTGTCCTAATCGATAGTGTTCACGCCATCTTGACCATAACTCCCTCTCAGTCATACCGATGTAGACTTGTCTATACGAAGGTGAAATAAGGACATAGACACAATTCTTTGGTTCCACGATGTCGAAACTCTTTTTTTTCCCACTTCATTTCGCCAATACTCAGTGAACTTCTCCCCCCACTTGAGTTCTCCCTTCAAAATTAGTGCAATAGTCAATGCGCGCAGTCTACGATCATCATCCTTATCAATTCGCCCGTTACTGATCCTACTATCCCGGATCTTACCAGGTAGTGCCCAGTAGTCGTCGCAACGACCACGTTCTCACTCAGACTCATCATCGGAGAGGGAATCCTCCGAGTCGTACTGCTCGTGTGCAGCTTCCTCCTTCAGCACAACTCCCTTGTTGCTGCGCGTTTGCACTCGTGGCGTCGAGGATGGTAACGGTATCACCGTCGGGTCATACGCCACCACCGCTCTTCGGATGATCAGACGCTTGATGGCCAAATCACGATTGCCGTACGCAACCTTCTCCTGACGACAAGCTTCTTTTAGCTCCTCGATCGTAAGTGCATCGTAGAAGTCGAAACATTCCTTCTCAAATTTCTCCTTTCCTCCGGGACCACACGTGGCCAAGATGTGCTTCAGTGATAGGTCAATCTTCGTAGGTGTACTTGTTGCTGTCGGCTCACTCACCCGTTCCGTCTTCAGCAGCTCAATCCGTGCCCTCGCCTCATCAGACATCACCCCAGCAGGTTTCTCTTCTGGTGTGACAACAGGTGGACTATTCCCGATGGGGAGATCTGGTCCACGTTTGTGTTTTTCCGCTTGTCCAAGCTTACACGCAAGCATCCTCAATGTGAGTAGCTCCTCGTCTTCAAAGTTATCGGCAACTCCAAGGGTCCTAGGCGCGATCAACCGCCTAAGTCTTTCCTTCTCTTCTTCTACCGTCTCGGTCATACCAGTACTCCTAGCCGCCATCTTCCCCTTCTTCTCGTATCTTTCCCTCTCTTCTTCGCGATCCTTGCACATCTCGCTTCGTATGATATGAAGAAGCCTAGCATCCCGCTCCTCCTCCGGTTTCTGTCGTTCTTCCAAGCGCCGAAGTCGTTTATTCTCCCGTATCCTCCTTGCCTCTTCCTCCGTACGTCTTCGTTCTTCTTCCGCCTCACGCTCCACTCGAATTCTTCTTTCTTCGGCCATTTGAACGAGATATTCCCTCATCAAGGTGTTGGTATCATCCGTTGTAGCGCTCCTCTCACTCCCGCTGTTCGCCGATCTGCTTCGTCTCATGCTACTGTCCAAAGCACCTCCCATTGCCGCTCTGCCAGTTCGTCCTGCTGCCGAAGGTTGTAGTGAAGGGACGAAAGGACGTCCGAGAGCCTTGGCTTTCCAGAACTCCGCGCAGTCCCTAATAAAGTGACCTCCCTCCCCGCACTTGTAACACTTGCGGCTGTCGGATGGTGGTGGGTAACCCCCACTTCCCTCCATCCCGCCACCTGAGCTTCCCTCCCCACTCATGTTAACGCCTCCTCAGTACTCGCTCTTCACGTCGATCATGCTACTTAAGATCCTTCGCCGTAACACAGTTCGCGTAAACACTTTTTTCACGGAAAACTTCTTACTCTCAGAAAACTTTTTTTTCTCTCTCGCTGATCCAGCCGCCACCTCCACTAGGTACGATTGTCGAGTTGGTTACAACTTTAAGTAAAGTATTCAGAAGAAGAACTGCAAGCAGGCAGTCAACAGCACACTCAGGCAATAGGCCATACACGCTGTGTGAAGTCAAACATCGAAAAGACAACACACGTTAACACGTGGTTGTTAACAGTGGTTATTTCGTGAAGCACAGATGTAAGGTCGACTCCACCAACGTCAATTGACGTCACCATCCTCAGAACTCAGCTGCGCATCATCTACGACGATGCACACCCGTCACTCCATCTGTCCCCTACTCCCGGTCGAACCGCCGCCTTTTTGGCGAAAGAGGATTAGCTCGACTCACGTCTCCTATTAATGCGTACTTCACGAGTGCGAATCACCAATCGGAAAAAACAAAAAACGAAAACCGGTTATCACTCGATATCTGTTATCCTATGGTGGCATGCCTATTACGCACAACAAGGATACCTTACCAAATTTATAACCGATGCCCTACTTCTTTGGGTCACTGCCAAAGTTCGGGCTTGAAAATGTTTGGCCCTGACCTGCCTGTGCCTGCTGGTCGCCGCCCCCCCTAAGAACCCGGTCAGTAAGGGCAGGAAAGTCAATTTCAGGCCGGCGGGGGTCACACTGTGCACCATGAGGGTTTGGACACACAGGCATATCCTGACGTGCTAGCAGCCTGACGTCGGATACATTTCAAAAGACAGCAGTCCCCAAAAACAAACAGGGACCCAGTCCACCGGAGTGGTTAGCTTAGACGGGCAATTGGGTATTTCGAAATCTGTGAGTGGGTTCAAACCCCAACGCACCCACTATGGTCAACAAACTTCAAGTTCCTGAAGTTCAGTTTTGTCCAGAAAATTCATAAGGGCGTACTTGTTTCCAATAGGCAAAAAAAACACCTGTGGGCAGGTCCATCCCTGCCGCAGTGCAAAAAGGCAAAAATAACATCAGCCGTCGTTTCAGACATCAGAGGCAAGGTCCCACTTGCGCAAATTAGGAGATTTCGGTCGTTGATCTTTGTTATCTACGGTCAGTATCTCTTAATTCGTGCAAGTGGGACCTAGCCCCAGGCCTGATTGAAACGTGCACTTTTTTCATTTTCGGCAGTTTTTTTTTTTTTTTTTTACGCATGACCTAGACATCTCGGCCGTGACCCAACCCGACCGTAGTCTAGACATCTTGGTCGTGGCCCAACCAGACCGTGGCGTAGACATCTCGGTCATGGGCCAGCCTGGTTGTACCTAGACATCTCGGTCGAGGCCTCAAGCCTTAGGAAAAAAAAGAAAAGCAGGCCAGCGCCGCGACTGTAGGATTGTCAGATCGTGCAGCCGAAAATGGCTGCACCGAAATGAGCACGGCCCCAGCACAAAGATGACAGGCATAAATCGAGAAAGATTCCTAAAAGGGAGATTAAAAAGGGGGAAAAAAAAAAAACGGCGCCACGTGGCCCTTACTTGAGAAGCTGGAAGCTGCAACTCCCAGAGTTCGTGACAGGCGTCCGTTTCTACGGGCA